AAGGAGAAGGAGAAGGAGAAGGAGAAGGAGAAGGAGAAGGAGAAGGAGAAGGAGAAGGAGAAGGAGAAGGAGAAGGAGAAGGAGAAGGAGAAGGAGGAGGAGACATAGTCAGCTTCCTAAGATGAGATAGTAGGATAAGATAAATTGCACTTTGATAATTCAAGAATCCAAACTATCCCAAAAACAGTTAATGTTTCAAATTAGAATGAGGGGTAATCACATCATTTTTCAAAGTATGATTAAGTCATCAACATGTTTCTTCTGAGTCTGTACCACATGATACATTTTGTGTTACTTTTCATTATTAAGCTGCCTTCCATTCCTACTTTAAGGCAGTCTGGTTTGGCCAAACAAACAACTCTTAAATGTTAAGAATTCTATAAGGGGATCCACTAGTTACCCTTCACTATGTCACCTATAGAGGAACTCAATTTACCTTGACTATACTGTGCAGTAAGGAGACAACAAGACTGAGAATGTCAAGAAAAAGCTCTCCTTCTCCATAGGAATCTACTAGAATTATTCAGATGGCACAAGCAAAAGAATTGCATGACATTACTGCTGATGGCAAAAATCCCTGTAATTTAGGTTTGTTGAACATGGGCCAAGTGCAAAGCTACTTGCAGTAATGACTGAAAGCCCTTTTTCTTTAAACCTGGGTTGCTTCCAAGCCATCTCGGACAATTGCATAAGTAATTATGCAATTTAAACACATTTCTGTTTACTCAAAACTATAATAAATATGCACAACAGTTCAGAGAGAATTAATGAGGTATTACATTAGACTCCAAATCAATCACGAGAAAGTACACTTCCAAACAGCACAGCTAAACAGTGTGACTGGAAAATTTATTGGACAAGACTTCCACCATGTCAGGTAAGAAGTAATTAATAAAGCAGAGGAGCCAAAAGTGATACAAGTTACATGGTTCCATTGAGCAAAATATCTATCTTCTGGCTGGCATATCCCAAATTATCCTTAGTTGTCAACTTCTGAAGTTCTTCCAAGAAAAAGAAAAGGAAAAAAAAATGAATTAAAACCAATGACCTCCCAGTAACTTTACTTTCTTTCAAGACTAATAAGCAAATGGGCATATTTAATTAGTCCAGAAGGTTGAGTGCTAGATATAGAACATTTTGTGCTTTATTAATTGTATTACTTCTTCCATGGAACTTGTTTACTTATTACACTGTTCTCTTGCTCTTTTGCCAAAGAAACTTACTTCTCCCATTTAGGAAGCTTACCGGTCCAGAATGGCTTCAGTTTCAGCCCAGAACTGCAATACGTATAATTCCCTCAGTCTGATTGCTGGCTACAAAGCTGCTAAGAATGCAGGGATGCAAGCAGTGATAGGTATGCTTTGGTATGCCATGTGATACTCTTGCTTTGTGAGTTGCACTAGTTCTGGTTTGCTTCCAGGTGGATTCAAGGTGCTAGTTATAACCTATAAAGCCCTACATGGCAAAGGATTTGGTTACTTGAGGGACCACCTAACTTCCATGGTGTCATCCTGGCCAGTTCAGTCCAACAGGGTTGGCATGCTGCAGCTTCCTTTGATCAAGTAGGGCCATCTATCAGGACCTGGAAGCATGCCTTCTCTGTTGCAGCACCTGTCCTCTACAATGGGGTTCTTCCTGAAATTTGGATGGGTTTCACTCTGGTGGTTTTCTGCAGGGCCTTAACAACCTGGCAGTTCTCCCAAGCTTTAGTCTAGGGTGGAGTACAATACAGTATGTGTTGTTGGCCAGATGTGCCATCATGTTTATTGCTATAACCCTTTGGACTATATGTTTGTTTTGTTGTTTTATGCTGTGAGTTATCAAGGGTCAGTTGGAGGCAGGCAGCATCTAAGTTGAAACAAACAAACAAACAAACCATCTAGAAGTATTCATGCTAGTGAACTATGCAGTCTACACCTGGCAAATACAGCTACAATACATGAAAGTACCCACTCCTTGAGCAATCCTATTGAATTTGTCATGCTTCTCACACTCATCAAAACCATGATAGATGCCTCTTTCTAGCTACTTTGTTCTTTGCACCCTGCCAAGGACACATGTAAGAATGGCAATAGGTAGCCATGACATGACTAGTCCGATGGAGCTGTAAGTAAATAACTTCAATTCATTCAGCTCCATTGAAAGAGATCCTAATGTGACACAGATATATTAAACAGGTTAAAATGAAAAGTGTACTGGCACTAAATTCAAATTTAAACCAATGGAATAGATACCATGAATCTGCTTGCAAAGTAATGGGTTTCCCAAACATAACTAAATACCATAAAAATACTAGAAAAATCATTCAGATAGCACTGTATTGAAAAAATCTTAAACTATCTTTTAAACCACTTCAGCTACAGTATCCTAGTAGAACCTCCAAGGATGATTTTAAGGAACAGAAGGTGACACACAGGAGATAATACATGTTCCACTACTTTGAATCCAGATAATCATTTAGAATTTTAACAACCAGTCCTCTGTGCTTTACTTAAAAATAACCTCTTAGGAGTTCTCAAATTTTATGGTGCTCTGACCCCTTAAAATGATAAATGAATTAGTGAGATGCCTCCAAATGAGCAAAACTAATGTTTCAGTGGGTTAGGGCTGAGCAAGAAATAAATATACCACTTATTTTTAATAATTAAATGTTAATCTACTGTATATATTAAATAATAATAGAACCTTGTAACTTAATATGTCATTCATAGAATGGCTTGGTTTAGCCAACCTGCCCAAAGATCTCTCCTTGCACCCCTCTGGATTCGTAGAAGGGGTGTTGGAGTGAGGGGAAAGCATAGATGCATGGTGTGCCGTTCTTCTCCCACTCTATTTAAAGATGGCCTGATCCCTGCTGCTAGTGAAGGGCAAACTCTCCCTGCGTACATGCTACTAACCCCATGACTGCAAAGAGGGATTGGCATTTCTCCTGGGTGCAATGTGTAGTCCAGAGCATCAAAAGACAATTCAGGTCACCAAACAGGAAGGAGGACTCTACCATGGGCCCACTGGGGTCCCCAAGTATTTGGAAAGCCAAGATGGAGTATGGCTTTTTGTGCCTCCTCAAAGATTCTTCGGACAAGCAATATAGCCTGTCACCTCTGAGGAGTTCTTGGTGCTCTCTGAGCTTGATTGTTTGCTTGCAGACATTTAATTACCCAGTGCTGGTGATGTTACCTAATTGGGTAATGAAATGTCTGGAAGCAAACAACCAAACTCAGCAAGCACCAAGAACTCCATAGTTCAACTCTGAGCTATAGATGTTGTCTTCTATTGGCACCTGACCCTGAGGTCTTTCCCACCCACCCTTGCAGTCCCTGAAAGGTTGCAACCTATAGCTTGAGAATCCCTGGTGTTTAGGAGTACAGCCTTCCTTAATATCAAAATCAGCATGTTGAATGAAGCCTGGAGGAAGTAACCAGCTCTTATTGGTATGTGCATCCATTAAACAACTGTAACATGCAGTGTGTCAATGATCACAGGGGCTGCCACAGCAATCAAATTCCAAATAAAGGCAACATTCAATACTTTTTTCTCCTTATGAACCTACAAAACTGCTTTTACTCTGTCAAGTAATCTAATGAAGAACGTTTTAGAATGATGCCTGAGACCATCAGCATATTCTTCTAGGCTACTTACCAGTGTAGTAAAGATGTAATGATAGTATTCTGTCATCATTCCCATTGCTAAAGCCTAAAAAGAAAAATTCAGTACACACAACATTAACTTTTTAAAAATTTAGATAACACTGCTTTATTATTTCCACAGTTATTCTTAATGCCACTTTTAATCACACCTATATGAATAATGGAAAGCTCCCATGAGAGGAAGATGTGGATAAAAGTATATGACTAGAATTATACTAAAATTAGGCCAAGCAAATCATTCTTGAGCAGTTAGTGCAGATAACTGGCTATTAAAAGAATTAATGAAACAAAACTGTAGAAAGAAGGATTATTATTAGGCTGTTTAGGGTTGCAAATATGAAAGAAGTGTATTATTATTATTATTATTATTATTATTATTATTATTATTATTATTGCAGTTGCCAACCAAAAATCTAATGGAAGGTGCTTGCATTAATTGCATTTATTCTATGGTTCTTCATTATATAATAAACACCTATTGAAGAAAAATAAATTAAAACACAATTGAGTCAAAGAAGCTAAATAAGAAGTGCTGGCAATTAAATCTAACCCCCCCCCCAAAAAAAAGAAGGAAACCACCAGATTTGAGCCCTGAACCAACATTTCTTTACATTAATGTCTAATGTAAGTAATGTCTAAATTCTAATGCAAGTGATATAATTCATGAAATACCAACCACTGAATAAATGTTTTTTTCTTCAACCTCCTGAAAAGCATATCAACTTCAGCTTCCCATTTTAGACTTTTCTTAATCATCTCCTTGGTTAATAAATAAGGATTCCACTGTCCTTCCTGATGTTGTCATTACTTTAAATTGATTAAATAACCCCAAAAAAGTATTTTAAATCAAACAAAAAACTACCTAAACTAGCAGCCAGTTAGAGATGCAGACAGGTTCAAAATGGGCCATTGAAAACCTCCATGTAGGGAAAATGATGCCCCTCCAATGATTAGAGGTGACACTGAGATGGAGACTGGCAACTGGGCAGTGAGCCTGGATTTGCAGAGATTCTGTGGATAAAGAAGAAGCCAAGAGATCACCCATGTGTGCTCCAGAAGGCTGCTCTTTGCGAGGAAGCCCACAGGATTCAGAGGGAACCTATGGACAAACTGTGGGTAGAGCGCCAGGAGCCAAGGAAGAAACAACAAGCTCTCAGCCTCATGTGGAGCCTGCATTAAGGACTGGGCTCAACTCAAACCCCACTTTCTAAAGCCCATTTGGATATATAGTAAATATTCTACAGCTAAAGAGATCTTCTAAACCACAGACCACCTGGTAAGTGCCACTTCGATCTGGGATATAATTAAAGAGAAAAGTAAAGAAATAATTATAAGAGTTTAAAATTGAAGGCAAGAAGCTTACTGAGAATTTGAGCTACAAAAATTAAAACAGAAGAAGGGAGCAGTTAAACAGTAAATACTTTTTGAAAAGGTTGGAAACCCTTCATGGACTTTTTGCTGGAAATTGATAAAAATGACTTGATGATTTCTGGATTTGCTGATTGAAAAGTGTCGAGTATGGGAAGAAGTGAATTATGTGATGCAACCTTGATGGGGGAGGAGTGACAATAAATATATTTGTAACTACTGTAAGGAAGATCAGAAGTTGCCTCTTTAAAATTTCTCTTTTTTCTTTCTTTCTTTTCTTATTTACTGCATTCTTTCTTTATCTTTTTTCTTTTTCTTAATTTTGTTTTCTATATGTTTTCTGTTTCCCTTTAAACTACCTTAAGGGTTGCTATTTTGGGGATAAAAAATAAGGGGAGACCCTCATGTACACCATCTTGAACTCTCTGGAGACAGATGATATAAATGCATTATAAATCAGTAAATTATTAAATGGGGAATTTCAGCACAGGAACAGTAAACTAGACAGAAGGATGCTATTCTAATATATAAAAATAAGGATTCTATTCCACACTTTTCAAAGCTGATGGCATTCATCATTACAAATATAAAGCAACAGCATCAGGCTGTCACTTTTTGAGTCACCAAGGTTAAAACAGAAGTCAAGTGTTTGATTCCTCCATATTGGGAATCAAAGATGTGGAAAATGGGCCTGGGAATCATCCAGCTACATTCTAGGAATTCTAAAGTTTTAAACATGAAGACAATTATGAAGTAGCCATGCTGGCTAGGGTTGACTGGAGATGTGAACTGTGGCCTTACACATCTGAAAAGAACCATGGTAGAGAAGGCTAGGCTCCAAGACTGTGGTACTCTTCTTGCTTTTTACTTTAGAGGCGCACAGCAAGTGAAGAAGCAACCCAAGACCAGTTAGGTCACCCATGTTATAGTATTTCAAGAGCTCCAAGAAATGCCATGCCTCTCCTTAGCTACATCAAATGCTTACAGAAAAACAAACTTTTGGTTTTGATAGTGATCTAAGCCAGTGTTTCTCAACTCAACCCTAAGCTGTGTGGACTTCAACTCCCAGAATTCCCCAGCCAGCATGCTTGAACTCCACACAGCTTAAAGCTGCCAAAATTGAGAAATTTTGATCTAAGCAATACTCATGATTCTAAGGCACAATATGACCATACCCTCCCCCACAAAATGTCCCCTCAAAATCCTGAAGATGATATATAATCATAGATAGAGCAGTCACCTGAGACTCAAGGTCTAGACAAATCTAAGTACAGCCTGGATTGACTACAGAAAAGCCTACAACTCAATGCCATGCACACAGATTTGTAAATGCCTGGCACCATACAAATTCAACAGGACACTAAGGATCTTCCTTAAGAACTCAATGGGACTGTGGAAGACAACACTAGAAGTCAACTCAAGACAGCTTCCACAAATGGCCATCAAGTGTGGCATATACCAAGATGATGCGCTATCCCCACTGCTGTTCTACAGTGGCTTGAACATACTCAGCTAGATAATCACAAGGACAATACAGATATAGATACAAGTTCAGATACAATACAGATACAGGTTCAGGAATTGTGATGGACTGGAATGGAGGAAGCACTGAGGCACTGATCTTAGCAGCACAAGAACAGGCACTAAGCATCAGATCCATAGAAGCAGGGGTCTACCACACTAG